TTGTGCTCTGCTTCCCGACCAGCAAGGCCCCAGGAATGGCTGATGAGGGAGGCTATGTGGTGTCAGGCTCTCTCAAGGGGAGAGAGAGAGTGGGGTCTGCTTTTTTTTTTTTTTTTTTAATTTATTTATTTGACAGAGAGATAGCACAAGTAGGCAGAGCAGCAGGCAGAGGGAAAGGGAGAAGCAGGCTCTCTGCTGAGCAGGGAGCCCGATGCGGGGCTCGATCCCAGGACCCTGGGATCATGACCTGAGCCGAAGGCAGCTGCTTAACCGACTGAGCCACACAGGCGCCCCGTGGGGTCTGCTTCTGATGGGTTAGCCAGCATGGGTACGGAGGCTAGGAGCAGAACACCTCTGATTTCTGTCAATTCAAGGAGTGTGGACAGGGGAGGCAGCCAGGCCGAGGCCTGGGACCGTCATGGGGCTGCCTCAGGCCTGTAGGAGTTGGGGGTGTGTGGGGATCCCCGAAAGGGGGAGCCCACTGGTTCTCCCACAGCTCATCTTTATTACTTCTGCAGCTCAGGATGAACTAAAGCCCAGGAGAGTGGCCTCCAGGCTGTCAGGGGGACTGATCAGCGGTCAGCAATGAACAGGAAACTCTGGATATGCTTGGGCACAAGCCGGTTTAGTAAGTCTGTGCCCGCAGAGTCCCCAGGCTTCTCTTGTTGGCCTCTAGCGGGAACTGTGAAAGTCCATTGGGCTGCTGGTCACATGCTCTTGTCACCCCGCCCTGGTTTTAGAAGAACCTCTGCTCTATCTGCTCTATCTTCTCACCTTAAACTTGAATAGAGCAACAAAGTATCTTCCAAGAGCTGGGAAGCTCACATCAGCTGGTTTTGCGCCGGTGTTCAAAATCTTCCAGCTACAGTAGCCCCATTTTGTGTCCCCACTAATCCCTACCCCGCTAGCTATGGTCATCTTCTTCCTCTGGACCACCGTGAATTAACCTTGAATCCAGAAAATCCTGCCCAGAGGAAGCAGAAAAGAGGGACCAGCAGGCTCCACTTCTTCAGGTCCACTGCCTGACGGTCCCCTGCTGACTTTCTGGTGGGGGGATGATCGGAGCAGGACGTGGGGGAGCAAAGTGCACATGGCAACCGCGCCCATTTTCCCATCTACCCCAAGGAGAGAGATGCAGAGACAGACCTGACACCTGGACTGTCATGGTGACCTGGCTTCCATCCATGACTTTGAGGTCGGAGAGGCCCTGCAGGAAGAGGGGCGCGACCGGCTTGCTGGGAGCCGCGGGCAGAGGGTACCCGCTCTTCCTGTCGCTCTTCTTTTCTGTGCGGCAGACAACAGAATGGGGGGCGAACACTCATATATTCATTCGACAAACACAGACTAGAGGACTGCTGGGCACCCAGCTTTGGTGAGGCTTGGGCTTCTGCCAGAGGCTGACTGCTAGCAGGTGGGGCATGTGGGGAGGGGCTGGAGATCACTAGCAATGAGGCAAGGCGAGCCTGTTTCTCTGCTTGGCATGCCAATGCTCTTGCCTGGGAGCCGGGAAAGGGCCAAGCCCAATTGGGGCTCTGCTTCCTCAGGAGAACTTCAACACCTGCCATCTTAGGAGATTTTTTTTTTTTTAATTTCACTCACCTTTTTATAAGTGATATGCTCCCATGGCACCAAATTTAAAAAGTACCAAAGACTATGTGTAGTCTCCCTTCCATCCCTGACCTGTGGCCATCAGGCTCCTCTCCCCAGAGGCAACCAATATTCAGTTTCTTGTTCATCTTGGCAGAGATGGTCTATGTAGATCACACAAGCAAATAGCTATACTCTCCCGTTTTCTTCTCTTAAAGAAATGATAGCACACTCTATGCACTGACTGATGTCTTATATTTTCATTTAACAATATACCTCGATGCCTTTCGTAAAACAGAAGTGAAGAGCTTCCTTGTCGTTTTCTATGGCCGTGTGATGCTCTATCACCCTCCCATGAGATTTTAAGTACCTCAAGAAAGCCAAAGACACCACACTCACGAGAGTGACTCAAATGAAAAAGGCCAGTCTACGGCCATCCCACCCTGAGCGTGCCCGATCTCATCAAATGAAAAAGGCCGGCCATCCCAAGCACTGACATGTGGGCGAGGATGTGGAGCACCGGGACCTCTCACACACTGCCGAGCCACACACGGTACACAACCTTCTGAAAACAGCTTGGTACTTTCTTAAAAAGTTAAACATGCATTTGCCATACGATCCAGTCATTCTACCCCTGGGTATTTTACACAGGAGAAATGAAAGCACGCTTCCAGACAAAGACTTGTACACAAACATTCATAGCAGCCTTATTCCTAACGGCCCCGAACTGGAAACAACCCAAATGGCCATCAACAAGTGAATGAATAAAGAGATTGTGCTGTATTTACGCAGTGGGATACGACTTAGTAATAAAAAGAAACAGACTAACAAGAAACACTACAACAGACAAATCTTACAAAAATGACACTGAATAAAAGAAGCCAAAGAAAAAGTATATACTGGATGATTCCATTTATATAAAATTCTAGAAAATGCAAAATCTAGGGATAGCAAGCAGATCTGTGGTTGCCTGGGGCTTATGGAGAAGGATTGTAAAGGGGCATCAGGACACATTTGGGGTTGATGATGATGCTCATTTCTTAAGATTGTGGTGAAGGTTTCATAGGTGAAGGTTTCGAATTAAACACCATGAATATGTGCAGTTTATCATACATCAATATTATCTTAGTAAAAACTGGGGAAAGAAAGTCTCAAAGGGAGGGAGGAAATATACCAGCTAGTCAAAGACAAAAGCTAGAACCACTCTCTGAGTTCAGGGCTGGCCCACTCACCCCGTTTCAGTTCTCCAGGGAGATGGGGTCACAGATAGGCTTTCTATTATTCTTGGAATGCTCCCCAAGCTGGGCTTCGACTTGCCTCGTGTGAGCCAGAGGGGAAGGGGCAGCAGAGTGGCTGAGCCAGTGTCAGCTTCCCACATAGGACAGCCCTGGTGCAGGACCAGCTCGTGGCTGCCCAGTCTCTGATCTTGCCCTTTGCCCTGTGAGCCAGGTGGCTTGGACCTTCAATCATTCTGAGCTTTTTTGTTTTTGCGTTTTGGCAGGGGCAGGGGTAGGGAGGGAGAGGGCTAGGATATCTCTAACTTAAACTCTAAGTTTTGGGGGAAAGGGACTCTGGTATTTTGGGTTCTTATTAGCAAGGGACACATATACCAGATTTCCAGAAAGCCAGTAGCCATGGGCATACATCTCCATGGTGCTTTATATACCTGAGAAAAATAGAACTCTAAATTGGCACCGAGTTTCTAACTTTTGGCACTCAAAACAAAACTGGGCCCGCTGCAGAGCTCTCCAGGTGCGGCCCCTGGGAGTGAAGACGGGAGAGGCGGAGAAGGCTCAGGATGCTGCAGGGAAACCTCCCGCAAGGCAGTCGCATTGTGAAGGGCATGGAGCCAGGGTACCGTACAGTCCGAGACCAGGGGATGTGCTCTCGCGTCCTGGCCGCCGCCTCCGCCCCAGCCCCCAGCATCGCTGCCTTTGTCAGAGGGGCAGCCAGGCAGACTTTCCCTTGACCCGAGGCCCGGGAGTGGGCTCGGGGAGGTCCAGAACCCAAATGCAGAGATCTCTTTGCTGTGTCTGGGCTGCAGTGGCCAGGAAAGCAGGCTGCCTCAGGAGAGTTGAGGAATTTCCAGTCCTGCACGGACTGAGGCTTGAGGACAAAATGTTTCTGCCTGTGTAGATTCCCCCCGTTCTGCTCCTCTGCTGCCTCAGCCAGTCCCCGGTTTCAGAGGTCCGTGTAGACGGGCATGCCTATGTGCTGCGGGGACATCAGACCCTCCTTGGAGGTGGCGGCGGCCCCTCCTTGGCCCCTACCCTCTCCCAGGTCTGGCCTCGGGCAAGTCATGGCCTCTCTCTGAAGGCTCAGCGGCCTCACCTGTGTTGAGGGTAGTAACGGTATAATCCAGGAGTTTTAAAGAGAGAACATGTGAACATACTTTGTATGACTGCTCAACACCAACGAGACCTTCCGTGTGAGGCTGACATGGGCGCTGACTCACACCTACCCACTTGGGCTCCATTACTCGTGGGTTATCAGCTGCAAACGAACAGAGATGGGGCCCTCACCCAAGGACTGCAGACTTGTTTGTTTTTCCTTTTGTTTTTTTTTACATGACACAAGGCAAATACTGTTAGAAATACAAATGTATTGCTTAAAACTCTCCTGGGATATATGTAAAATAATTTTTTTTAAAGATTTTATTTATTTATTTGAGAGAGAGAATGAGATAGAGAGCATGAGAAGGGGGAGGGTCAGAGAGAGAGGCAGACTCCCTGCCGAGCGGGGAGCCCGATGCGGGACTCGATCCCGGGACTCCAGGATCATGACCTGAGCCGAAGGCAGTCGCTTAACCAACTGAGCCACCCAGGAGCCCATATGTAAAATAATTTGAGAACAACCTGGCTGCACCCCCTCCAAGAGACAGATGAATGGGATGACTGCTTTGTGGGCGCCTGGCCTGGGAGACATGGAGTCCCCTGGCACCGCCGTCCCAGCCCTGCCCTGTGTTCCCCAGGTCCCAGGCCTGGGAGGAGGGCAAAGGGAAGTGGTTGGGAGTAAGTGTGCAGAATGAACCTGGCCTCAGACCTACAGACTGGGGTCACATGGGATCAGCGTGACTGAGTCCAGGCTAGTGAATGGCTGAGTCATCCCTAGCATTCAACCACCCCAAATTCTTCACGGGGTGAGAAACCAACCAACCCCTCCCACAAACACACTCTGCACTGGGATTAAGGAGCCATGAGGATCTCAGTCTGGGGGCAAGTAGTTTTCTGGAAGCAGTCTGAGAAAAGCAGCTCTCACGAGAATCCTGAGGCTCCAGTCCCAATCCCACCACCCTAGTCTCCCGAGAGGGAGGCCAGGGCGTGCTCAGCTGAAGTGACCTGCGCGAGGTCACAGGGCCAGTCACAGGCAGACCTAGAGCTTGTACCCAGGCCTTCTGACGGCAAGGCCAAGATGTTCTGGAGGCCATCTCTTCCACGGGAAGCAGGCTTCTCTGGTGGCCAACTCTCCACAAGGACAGATGTCTTATCTGCTGACCCACATCCTAGCCTCTAGCCAGGGAGAACAGCGAGCTCAGAGCAAGGCCAAGCCAGGTAAAAAGGGCAAGATGTGCATACTGCACTTAATTTCAAAGTCAAACAAATTACTCTGTCTCATCTGTGGCCTATGTGCTATGGCATCCATTTATGCTAGATAAAACAAGAAGACAGATGGAAGGTGGTGCTCTGAACTCACTCGGAGCTCCAGCTGTGTGATCTGAAGCAAGCTTCCCAACCCACAGTGTGTGATCTGAAGCAAGCGTCCCAACCCACAGTGTGTGATCTGAAGCAAGCGTCCCAACCCACAGTGTGTGATCTGAAGCAAGTGTCCCAACCCACAGTGTCATCGGTTCTTGATGCTCCAGTGTTGGTAAGTGCAACCTCTACATCATCAGTATAACGCATGATAAATGCTGCAGGGTTTTTAGATGATTAAAAGAGGCAACATATGTAAAGCAGCTAGAATAATATCTGGCACATAATAAGTATAAAAACACACGGTTGGTTGGTTTGTTTTTTCGCCTTTCCTAACCCCACTCACTTTTTTGGGTTGGGCCACCTAGATTCCAGCAGGAGCTCTCTGTCAGAGTTTGTGTCCGCGCCCAGGCTCACCAGTGCCCCCAGAGAGCTGCACCTCTGGGCCTGTGCTTTAGCTGTCATCTGGCCAGTCCTGGTCTGAAGCAGGGCGAGGGGGCCAGAGTCTGAGGCAAGAGGTCCCCAGAGGCTCAGGGAACCTGAGCCGCCTTCATCTGGGGAGGGCAGGCACTGGCAAGGGAGGGGTCCACGGGGCCCAGAGACAGCTGTGCCACCCTACTCAAGTGGGGCCAGACTAAATATACCCCAGGTTTCCCCACAGCTGTGCTTTCTGCCACTGTGCTGAGACCAAGCCCGGAGAGCACCTGCTCTCTGAGATCCAGGAAGGGCCGAGCCGCCTGGATGTCCTGGCCCAGAATTAAAGATGGAACGTGAACCCCCTGTGGTGCCAGTCCTTGGTCCCCTGGCCAGGGACTGTATAGTCACTCACGGACACACTCTGTCATTTAACTGAGTAGCTAGCTACTGGGTGCCCTGTTCCATGTGGAGAGAAAGGGAATGGATCAAGCCTGCCTCCGGGGAAAGACAAGACCTGAGATCAAGAATACTTAGGAACAGTTTGTCAATGACAAGTATGATGCCGTATCCATTAAAGCTAGTGACGGGACTGGAGAATGGGGAGGAGCAGGAGAGAGGACGGGGCAGAGAGGGGATGGATGGAGGGAAAAGGAAGGACCTCCCCGCCTACTGACCCTCTGACGTTTTCCTCCTTGGCCATTTTTGCTCTGTTTTGACTCATCAGCAACTGTTTTTGAAGACTCCTGTCACAAACTTCCACATTAACTTCTTGCTTCGGGGAAGCAGAAGTAGCAAACAGAGACCCTGTCAGGGTCCCCGAGCCCAGAGGGGGAGACGCGGGGGCCGAAGCAGCTGCAGGCCTGGCTACTTCGCTGGGTTCGGTGGGCGGCACCTTACCCCCGAGCACGGCTTTTGTCCACCTGTAAAGTGGAGGTCATTCACAAGGGGAAAGCGGACTTGTGATGGGAAGGAAATAATTGACAAGTCAGCTCTTCTAACCCATTAGTTTTTTTCTGTCAAAACAATGTTCCTCGGGGTGCCTGGGTGGCTCAGTCGTGGGATCGAGCCCCGCGTAGGGCTCCCTGCTCAGCAGGAAGCCTGCTTCTCCCTCTCCCACTCCCCCTGCTTGTGTTCCCTCTCTCACTGTGTCTCTGTCAAATAATAAATCTTCAAAAAAAAAAAAAAAGTTCCTCGTTAAAAACATTAATTGATGGTTTACAAGACTCACATGAACTGGTATTAACTCAATTATTTTATTTCTGAAAAGCTCTTATTCAGAGAAAGAGCCAAATACCCACACAACAGGTGCACTTTGTTGCCTTTCTCATTAATTCTTATGCAATAACCCGTATAAGCCGTTCCTCAAACCTGGAAACATGAACGAAGCCGTCAGCTTCTCTTGGGCTTGAAATTTAGAAGCATCTGCAGTCTTTGTCCCCGTGGCTGGCTGTGATCTCAGCCCTCCTTCAACACTACAATGATCCTCCCGTTCTTCCCTTCTGGGTCCTTCCTTTCCTGTCCACCGGTTGAGCAGGAAAAACAATTTGGGGTTTCTCCTTAGAAGCTCTTTCTCCACCCTCCTCCTTCTATTAGCCACCCTGATTGGATCTGAACTTGCATTAAATACATGTTTATGCTTTGAGGGGCTTGCCTTGAAAATGGCCCTCTGCAGGCTCCCAGCTCATTTAAAACTTATTTCAGATTAAAACAAGAAATTGTGGGAAAGTGCTTAAACAGAAGACACAGACACACAAACAGAGACAGGGTGTTGGTGGGAAACACCTTACCATCTAAGGAGCCCCCCAAGGACTCTCCCCTACAGAGGGACCCCTGCCTATTGCTGTCAGGGCCATTTACTAAGTCCCACTCTCAGAGCCTCAGGCCCTGTCCAGCAGCAGCTTGCCCGCATCCTTGGATTCACAGGTAACCACCCAATGAAAATGGATGTGGAATGGCTCTCCCCTACTTCCTAACATCCCCTCTCCTAAAGCTTCTCATGCACAGACACACAGACCTCTTGCAAATGCACAGTTGGAAACCACTGCTGAGCTCTTTTGCTTAGTCATTACACTACAAAATACCATTCCAACAGCAAATCTGATTCACTCCAAGCCTTGTTAGAGTATGGAAATTCAGTAAATCACCAACTAAAGGGGAGCTCTGGAAGCACAGTCCTCCCTTCTTTCTTTATTTGGTGCTCAAAATCCAGCACAGTCCGGGGATCACAGACTAGCCTCCTTTCCCTACATGCCATGACTGTTGACTCTTGAGGACTCTTCAAAGGAAGCCTACCTCCACCCAGCCCCTTCCTATTTGCAGGGCATTTATGAAAGGTGTAAATCCCCAGTATTTGACTTCTCTTCCAACAAAAGTCTCTCCTAACCAAATAAACCTACTTGGTGATTCAGCAAAACTTCTACTTCTGTGTCATAAAAAGAGCCTTGCTCTGTTGGCTTTTCTTCCCTCCCACTGACTTCTCTAGAACCTAAGAAGCAAATGGGAATAGAAGTGTGCAAGGTATGTCCACAATAGCCAAAATGTGGAAAGAGCCAAGATGTCCATCGACAGATGAATGGATAAAGAAGATGTGGTATATATACACAATGGAATATTATGCAGCCATCAAAAGGAATGAGATCTTGCCATTTGCAATGACGTGGATGGAACTGGAGGGTGTCATGCTGAGTGAAATAAGTCAATCAGAGAAAGACATGTATCATATGACCTCACTGATACGAGGAATTCTTAATCTCAGGAAACAAACTGAGGGTTGATGGAGTGGTGAGGGGTGGGAGGGATGGGTGGCTGGGTGATAGACATTGGGGAGGGTATGTGCTATGGTGAGCACTGTGAATTGTGCAAGACTGTTGAATCACAGATCTGTACCTCTGAAACAAATAATGCAATATATGTTAAGAAAAAAAAAAAGAAGATAGCAGGAGGGGAAGAATGAAGGGGGGAAATCGGAGGGGGAGACGAACCATGAGAGACTATGGACTCTGAAAAACAAACTAAGGGTTCTAGAGGGGAGGGGGGTGGGAGGATGGGTTAGCCTGGTGATGGGTATTAAGGAGGGCACTTTCTGCATGGAGCACTGGGTATTATGCACAAACAATGAATCATGGAATACTACATCAAAAACTAATGATGTAATGTACGGTGATTAACATAACAATAAAAAAAGAAGTGTGCAAGGAAAAGAACAAAAGGAAACAGTGACGTATGACATTCCCCAAAAGATCTCTGACCAGTAGTGGTAGGGTTGTTGGAGGGGAAGCAGGAATCATTGCAACCACAGCCTTCTGACTGACTCAGAAGTTAACAACCAAACTCTCAATGTAAAGGTACAGCAGCCAAGCCCCCAGTGCTCCCTCCCGATGAGTGCTTGGAAACCACGGTCTCCACCATATGTGCGTAGCATGGATCATATTCTGCTGTTAGGGACACAAGGCTGTAATTCTGATGGCATTCTTGACCAAGGACTCCAAGCAAGTAAATGACAGATAAGGCCAACAGTGGGCTGGAGAACTAGACAGTTCTGCCTCTCTAATTGTCCAATTAGTAAAACGAGGCCCCAGTTCTATGATATGGACACATATGTACAAACATATACTCAGAAGTCTTCCTGCGACACGAAGAACCCACATGGTGCACAACCCCGTTTCTGTTGTATTCAAACTATATAAAACTAGAATATTGGTTATAAGATAACACTTATCTGCTTGCCTTCTTAGAATTTAAACGACTTTTGGGACAGATGTGGTGGGTGGGCTAAGGGTCTTAAGAGACAAAAAAAATTAAAGCCGATGTTTATCCTTCAATACATTTCTCTTTAGTTAATATAACTATTAGAAATGTTTTCAGTGCTTGTAAGCTTATGGAGGGGAGAATCCGTACCTGACACCATCGGACAGATTATATAACATCCTAAGTACCTGAGCATAACTTGGGAGAGAGGTGGGGGTGGGAAGCTGTCAGGGCTCCCAGCTATCCCACTGAGTGCCTGTCACTAACCTGAGAGTGAACTGGACTTCTACTGATGATCTAAGTTTCATTTTTTTACTCTAGATATCAGTTTCTTAAAAAATTTCCCGATATTTTATGTCCTTAGGTGCCTTTAGGAGGGCCCAGCAAGTCTTCAGTTAAATAAACACCATTAGGCTGAGACACTAAAGTCAAAATGGGCACAGTTAGCAAGTTAGTAGATCTAGTCACTTAAGAATTTTAGCTTTGACAAAGATACTCCAGGGGGAGATAAATTACAGTATTCTAGCCTGAGGAAGTCTCTCCCCCTCCCCAATGACTCAGTCCAAATACACTGAAATATTTACTCTCCCTTAATCTTCCTGGGCTCTGCAGGAATTTGGATTAATCATCCTTTGGGTTGGGTTGGTGGGGAAAGGCTTTCATTGCCTGGTTAACTATTGGGGATTTTTTAAATCCTGGGGTGGGGGGAGGACAGAAGGAATATTTGTTGAGGGACTCTTGAGAGCTAGCTGGTGGGTTTCTTGCATACTCCAACAAGCACTGAGCCCCCAGGGAAGTCTAGAGGTAGAGGGACGCCCTGCTGCACGTCTAGGGAGGCTGCCTACCGCCATGTGCTTTCATCCATTCCCTGAACACCTGCTCACATAGCAGGCCCGGATCCATGTGCAATAATGAGTAAGACACGGTCCCTGCCTGCAGGGAGCTTACAGTCTCACAGGGAAGACAATTAAACAAGCAATTAGAGTGAAATCCCACAGTTAGAATAAAATGGGGGCTACTTCCCTAGCGGCCCTGCCTGAGGTGCCTCTGCCTCTCTCTGAACTCATTCTCACCTTCTTCCGGCCACCCTGGTTATCTGGCTATTCCTTGAATAGGCTGACCTTGCTCCCAATTTTAGGGCCTTTGCACCTGCTGCCCCTCCCGCCTGGAGCACTCTTTCTCCAGCTCACTGAAGTCTCTGCTCAAAGTCCCCTCCACCTAGAGCCTTCCTTCACCACACAATGTCCTCACCCATCCTCCAGAAGGATCCTTTCCACCCTTCTCGGTCAGTATTTGATTAAACTAGGTGCTGATTATGGTGTGTCTCCCCATCAGAACGCATGCGCCAGGAAGACAGAGCTTGTCTGTCCTGCTCACTGCGGCCTCCCCAGAATGATGTCTGGCCCAAAGCAGGGGCTGAGTACAGATTTGTTGGAAAATAAGCATAGTGATAAGGGAGGCTCCCAGGGAGGGCTTCCTAAAGGAAACGACATTTGTTGGGGTGAGAGGCAGATTTTGGAGAAAGGGGATGCAGAGGAGAGGAGACAGAGAAAGCTGGGTGAAGTGGCCGCAGAAATCACATCAGAGTGCTGGGCCAGCGATTTCTGGATGATTGCAAAACCTTGGCAAAAGGCTAACGAGGTGAGAAAGAGCACCCACACCTGGCGTTCTGCGGAGCATCGCCGGGATTCTCCACTGAGTGTGCCTGCAGCATGGCTGCCCTGGAAACGGCCCCCTCCCGGGAAAGCGAACAGCAGGGGCGCCCTGCTCAAGGGCGCCCTCTCGTGGCCACAGCCCCTACAATGGGGTCCTCCTCAGACTCCAGTGTCTGCGGGGTGCCTCCCTCCCTCTAGGATTCTGGGATTCTTGCCCTTACTAAAAGCAAACTAACAGGCACACAGATGGACAGACAACCTCCCACCCACTGTGGCAAAGCTGGTCCTTTGGTAAAACCACTTAGACTTGGCATTTTGAACGATTTTACCTTGTGTAAAATTGGGGGGGGGGGGTCCGTTGGACAATCATCACAACCGTACACACTGAGCCCTTCCTCGGTTCTGAGGACATGACGTGTATTTATTAACTTAATCCTCAGTACTGGGGACTGTGACTATCAGTGTCCCCATTGCACAGAAGAGGAAGGCGAGGCCCGGGGGGTGGAATGGCACCCCTGTGGCCAAGCGAGCTGGTGGTGCAGCAGGATGCACTCCCGGCCAGTCTGCTCCACGGCCAGGATGGGACTGGGGCTGGTGCCACACTGAGGGTTAACGGAAAGGCCAGGCCTTGGGCAGCGATGGAGGGGCCGGAACCATGCTGGGTACAGTAGGAACAAACGTCTCTCCTGCGGTCGCCCCGACCCCTCAGCCGCCCCCAGAGACCTGGAGCCCCAGGAGCTGCCAATGAAGTAAGAAAAACTCCACGG